GGGTTAGCGCAAGCGGGCGGACGGGAGGAGGGAAGGCAGAGATCTTGAGGGGAAAGACCAGGGGCAAGGGGGGGAGAGACTCGGGCAGGGTCTCTCCCCGCGATCCGGGAAGCCTGGGCGAACCTTCAGGTCGTACTGGAGCTTCCAGTCGACGTCCACCAGCTGGGCGGTGCCAGGCGAGCCGGCCCCGGTGATGGCAGCCAGGCGCTGGCGGATGACACGGAAGTGCGCCGCGTAGACCGACAGCAGGATGTTGACGATGGCCTGCTCGGAGACGCCGACCGAATCGAGGATAGATCTTTCAGGGCCCCAAGGAGAGAAGGGGGGAGGGGGCGATAGTTGGCGGAGAGAGGAGAGTGAGGAGGGTGTGCGAGGGGGCCCGGACTGAAGGGAAGGCTCGACGTACGGGAAGGAAGTGTCGGTGACGTTGCGCTTGGCACACTCGGTGAACAGGGCGGTGATGCCGTAGAGGGCCTCCTTCAGCGCGGCGGACATTAGCCCCGGCTTGCCGGAATCCTTGAGGAATGCGATGACCTCGGGCTCCTGGAGGGGATCTATGGAGGTGGGGGGCGGAGGCGCACATTCATGGTCAGTGGCCGGGCACCAGGGGACACATTCAAAGGGCAAACAGGGCAAGGGCCAGGACAGGCAGGGGGGAGGGACGAGGGGAACGAACCATTGGAAGCCAGCCCCTGCGCAGGGACGTCCGCCGAGAGGGAAGTCGCGGCATTGAGAGAAAGAATGTTGATGATGTGCGGCTGCTTCAGGAAGTAGCGGTCGTTCGTCAGGAGGTTGAGCCCGGAAAGGGCAAGCGAGGAGAACTCCATGGCGCCGCGGCGGGTGGGGCAGACAAAGAAAAGTAGGGGGGAGGGGGGGGGGAGAGGGGAAAGGTGGAGCGTGCTGCCCTCGCGCCCCGGCCCACGGCGGGCTGGGCTGCTGGCCCAAGAGGCCCCAACCGTGGACCGAACAAACACACGGACCGGCTCGCGGGCCCGGGGCCGCGAAGCAAAAACAATCGACTCCGGGTCACGAGAGTGCGAGGTGCCAACGGAAGGCAGTCTATTGTGGGCCGCAAGTCCGAGACCGACAAGGGGGAGGGAGGCGAGGTCTGGGGGGGGGG